TTATTTAATCCCAGAAAAGAATGCATCAGTAATCGTCTCCCCATTGTATCCAAGGAAATGCTGGCATCTTCCTCTCATGCATAAATTTCGCGCGTGATTCTATTTCCAACTTTCGACCCAGTTGTGCCGCTTGATGGACACTCCTCGCTGGAACACCTTGACGTATGCAGCCACCTCGTTTGTTGCCACTACTATGTTGGAAACCAAACAGATAGTTCGGACGAACAGGAAAAAAACCATTCCCACCCAAACACATCATTACGAAAGAAATGATAAGAAATGATGTGATCATCGTAATTGGTATGCTTAGTTTTACTATAGCCATCCATTTACAGTCTAGTGACGTGACCTCCGTTTATGAGTCCGCTCTCCCTTTCACAACCACTCTCCGTTATCCACACACAAACGCCAAGCGTACCAACTATCGTAATTATGTCATCTGTTTCTAAACTCTGATTTCTCTTACAATTACGTTTCTCTTCTCGCCACCTGTTTGATCTATTATAATTCTTACTGTATTTAGCCAGTTTAGGTATCACGGAAAACAAGCTTGTTTGCTAACCTGTTCTCGTCCCCACACAGCGCGATTACTATCATTGAGGCAACCGGGACGAGACTAGGAGAGGAGCTTCGCTTTTGTCGAATTTCAATGGTAGAATCTGTCGAAGCCGGAGCAATGTGCTCGTGCGAAGAGAGTGACCACTTTCGGCGGTGCACTATAGATGGAGGCCGTTGTATGCCTTTTCAAGTCACATCTGGAAGGAAAAATAGCCGTTACCCAAACAAAACTGTGATATTGTGAATACAAAGAAACGGTACCCCTTAAATCGCATGGCAAACCTCAGTTGTTTATCGTACGCTTCTGTATATGTTTTTTTTAACCTCCCCTCGCTTATGAACAATCACATCGTGCCATGCTTCGCTAACACCAGTGGATCATACTTAATCAAATACGCGTCGCGCTTATCTAGTTTGCGATTGTGTTTTGTTACCACCATAAAACCGACAATGTTATCTCTAACCTTCGATAATCAAACAATCCGAATGATCATTTTGGTCATTTATCCGGAGCATAACCAGCTTTGTTTGAAATAACCCCACTTCGGCTTTCCTATTGAGGCATTCCACAGTTAACTGTTCCATATCCGTGAGTTGCCTGTTGTCCTCAACGCCTATTGAGTTCCTCCTGAACCACGAAATTCAGTTCTTCTACGCTGCATTATTCTCTGGTGTCATGCTTGGACACGTTCCATCACTATTTCTGTCCAGTTCGCTAGAAAATCTCCCCAATCAATGTGCCATTGTGGACGAACTAAGTGATTAAAACCCGTAGCCAGCTGGTGGGATTTTACTCAGTGCAAATCATACAATGAATGCAAATGACACTTACGTACAGGTGCACGTAACCGTAAACATTGTCTATGCAGTTGTGCAGTTTAGTAATCACGATATCAGAAATTTAGAGTTTCTTATGTGAACATTGCCACGAAATCACCAGACAATCAATCAGAGATCTGATCAAACCATCCGATGAGAAGAAAAAACAGTGTATCTTCTTGTTCGTTTCTTCCTATCCTTGTAACTCTGTCGTGTTTTAGCGTGTTCTGTTACACGTTAGTGTAATGCACTTTTATTTTCTCTTCCTGTGGACCGCAGTTGTTGTCCTCGGAACGCGAACTGATGCGCATCACATTGCCTTGTTGGCATCTGGTCGAATCGTCCACGGAGACCTCCCGGAGCACGCACGAATTCACACCCGTATCGGATTGGGCCGCGATAGATCAGTCAACTGGAGCTATCCCCGTTCCTATGCGACTTATTCGTATGTGAGTTTTGTACTTCTTTGTATGCTTCGTTTTTGGCACAGTCAGCTGATGCTTTCTTTTCAATACACAATATTGTTTTCTAATGAACATGAGTGAAGCGAGATTGAATTCACTCTAGGAAGACTCGCTCCTGCGTAATGACAAATCTGTTTCGTAGATAGATCTGTCCAAATTCTTAGCATTGCGCTACAAAGTGGCATCCCCATCCCCATTCGGTATGTTTTCAAGTATGCATCTGCAATCTGTGCACAACCAAATGCTATCCGTGGAGCAGTAGAATTCACGCAAACAGGAGGTCGATGAAAATCTACCCCATCCTCGACTTCGTAAGTGTTCTTCCATGACGTCTTATTTCTGAAAGTAATACTCAGAAAGCAATATTCAGAAATAACCTGGAGACGCCCCACCCCCATCCCGGAGTAAACTGGTAAAGGTACACTTTCGGTATTCTACGGACTCCACGAGAAGTTTTGTGTTGATCCAGTTCTCGAAATAAACTATGTTGCACCTCATTTCTGATCCCACCTACCCATGCTTGACCTTCATGGATAGCAGTGTCTGCTGAATCGTGTTTTACACGATGACCATGACCATCATATTATTATATTTCACACACGTGTGAGACCACACTGTGAGCGAATCGAATCGTGGGACAATAATAATAACAAAAAAGAAAAACGTTCCAACATTTGCATAAGGTCTCTAAATGCCTCAGTATGGTCGGGAGTGGGTGTATCGGGCTCCGAAATGGCCATTCGTCCCGAACTCCTCTAGAAGTGCTCCCAAACGATCGAGCATCTCAAATAGCTTCTGCTGAGAAAGTCCTACACACTGCCTTCGCGTGACGGAGGTGTTAACACTAAAATGGGAGGGCAAAGGCGAATGCCCGGCGCTTTCCACCGGGTCGACTGACCACGAGTAGTCAGTCTAGAGGAGTTGACTAAACTCTGATTCCAAACTACCCACACCTGGAGTAAGAAGCTCATAGTGGCACCAATCTTCGGCGCAACCGAACCGGTCCCCAAAGTTAATCTTTGGAGTTGATCATCGTGATGCTCACCGGCAAGTACACGGCTCAAGAGCAATCTGGGTACCCTGGATAGTTGGCCGCATCCGAA